CCAGATGGCAGTAAAATTTGACATTTCAATTCTGTTTGTGAGATTCATTTTTGTTTTTAAATTGGGAAGAACCATGGGGCTAAAAATTGTCTGGAGAGCTAGAGAAGACTGGTGAGACCTCTTTAGTGGTGTTATTAATATGACTGTGGTATCTGAAAGGGAATTTGGAGATACAGTAGACAGAGGCCATACCCACCTCTCCTGGATATGAACAAGGGCCCTGATTCTTCGAAGCATAGAGCTAACTGGTCTTCACGAATTGTGAAGGGATGATGCAGGGAAGAGGATCAGGACAAAAATAGGGGCTGTTTTGGTGACCAAATTAAACCAATGTTTAAAAATCATAATTCCCTAGTGACTCTGGAAATTTGCAGTAGACTTATAACATTTGCAGTTGATACATAAATATTCACGTTCTTTGCACCGTACAGACAGACGCTTGTAGCTCCCACTACAAACCCTGAGTTATTGTTCTCAACACCCTCCCCCCTGCCCAAAACAGGGTTTCTTTGTGTAGCCTTGGATGTCCCAGAACTCGCTCTACAGACTAGGGTGGCCTTAAACTCATGGAGACTGGACACCTCTGCCTCCTGAGTGCTGGGATTAAAGGTGTGCTGGCTGTCAGCAGTTCTTTTATGAAGTACCGAAATTAAGACTCCCATGAAGTCTTTTCACTAAAAGTGTCCATGGTGAAAGGAACAACTTAATTCATTAAACTCAAGATTTAGTGGTTCGGAGCTGTGGAAACCAGGTCAGATACTTCCCAACACTTTGGGTAGAGTGTCCTTGCTATAGATTCTTCTTTCTTCTTCTTCTTCCTCTTCTTCTTCCTCTTCCTCTTCCTCTTCCTCTTCCTCTTCCTCTTCCTCTTCTTCTTCTTCTTCTTCTTCTTCTCCCAGTTTTTTCGAGCCAGGGTTTCTCTGTAGCTTTAGATCCTGTCCTGGAACTATCTCTTGTAGACCAGGCTGGCCTCAAACTCACAGAGATCTGCCTGCCTCTGCCTCCTGAGTGCTGAGTTTAAAGGCATGAGCCACCACTGCCCGTCTTCACTATAGAGTCTTAAAGAAAATCATAGAAACAAACCAGCAGTTATATATTGTCGTTAGTGATTTGATTGAGTTTCTTGAATGGGAAGAAAGCAGGCCCTATCTGAATTTAATCAAGGATGATTTGCTTCTGTGGCTGACAGCTCTCACAGAGCAGCTAGCCTAGCTTTTGTTTGGCACAGGTGCTCCTGCAAGACCTTCAGGTTCCTCCGGCTCCCTCTTCTCGCTCTCCACACAGTGGCTCTCTCTCACACAGTCTCTTCATGGGTGCAAGAAGGTTGGCTTTCCTGGCTTCATGACCCAAGATGGCAAGTCTGTAGTGGAAGAGAGAAGTGGAAGAGAGAACCTCCGTATCTCAGAAGGTGAATGAGCTTTCTGTGTCTGTTATGATCCAGCTTTGGTCATGTGACAGTTCTTCCTAATCCTTCATCAGTGTAGAGCAGGGGTTCTCTACCTTCCTAATGCTGTGGCTCTGTACTACAGTTCCTCATGTTGTGGTGACCCCCATAAAATCATTTCTTTGCTACTTCATTACTGTAATTTCACCACTGTTATGAATCATAATGTAAATATCTGATATGCAGGATATCTGATATGTGACCTCCAACCCACAGGTTCAGAAGTGCTGATGTTCTGATTAATTTCATCTCGCTATGACCGCAATGGGAGTAAGAAAGGAACAGGCCGTGCACACTGTGCGGCCTGGCATTGATGGGAAATTGGGATAACTCATTAAATACAGTGGCCAAAATGACAAATATCAGGTATGATATAGCTAATTAAAGGACTTATGAATTTAACAGAACATTTATTAATATTTAGTGATTATTACACTGTAGGACATGTGATGATGGCCAAGAAAGGTTGTCTCCTTCCACGTGTTCATGGTACAGGACATCACTGAGTTCTCAGAGTTAACACAGAGCCTGTCCTGGCTCTCAGACATTTACCACCATGGTCTCCAACTATTTCGGTATGTTACAGAGAGATGCATTCATAGCCTCTCCCTCCAGGGTGTCACTATGTAGCCCCGACTGGCCTGGAACTCACTACACAGAACAGTCTGGCCTCCAACTAACAGAGATCCCCCTGCCTCTGCCTCCCGAGTGCCGAGACTAGAGCTGTGCACAACCACGCCTGGCCTCCACATCTTTCTCGGGAGATGCACATCTTCTGTAGAGACAAAGAGAAGAAGTTTTGCAAATTCTCCATTCCTTTGGTTAAGCGCATTGGATGTTGAGACCGCAAGGAGAAAGAGTTGTTTTTGGCACTGGGCCCTGAGCTCTTCTGTGTGAAGGTACTGTGCTCGTGTGCACAAATTGCCTTATCTGTAAGATGACAGCCATCTGCCCCTCCACTTGGTCTGGTGCAGGATCTTCCTTTCTGCTTCCTTATGTGTCTCTGTTACCTTCGTAAATGCACAACAAAACAAATATAAGTAGATACAGTGTGTGCATATATGCAGTGTGTGTATCCACAGGTGATATGAAAACATTTAACAAATGATATAGCATATTCATCCCCCAGAGTGAACGTTACCCACCAACGAACAGTACAATTCTACTAGGACACAGGTACTGGCTTGTGCCCCATATGTGGGCCCTGTACAATAAGAATAAAACATTGCTCCAAGTGAATTTCCAAAGGCTTTTCGCTCTCACCTCCCAGTGAACAAGAATCAGATGAGCAGCTCTTGAGAAACAACCAATGACAGGGGAAGACAGTCGATGCTTCCTAGGAGACTACACACCAATGGGTGCCGTATGACGAGGGCAAATCAGTGGAAGAGGAAGAGAATGTGGGGTGCAGAAGAAGCATCAAGGGAGGAAGAAATGGTGAGGATGCTGCACAGAGGGGCCTTCTCAGAGTTGGAGAATGAGATCAGAACAGTTCCAGATGGAGAACCAAGTGGCAGGGCGAGATTTTAACATGCTGCTCGGGACCAGGTCCTTGTACTCTCTTTAGGAGGCTTTTAGCAGCACAAGAGTATTGAATACTGCTCACTTGAAAGCGAATTCTCTAAAAATGGATTGCTTAGGTTTCCAGGTTGATACAGGATTATACAGTTACAAATATAGGAATTTTGTTAACCTGCTTATAATCTTAGCTGAAGGGGACAAAGTGGCCGTGTTTTGTGCCACGAAAAGGGGGACAAAGTGGCCGTGTTTTGTGCCACGAGAAGCGACTCCTGCTTTTGTCCCTGAGCTAGAGAAAACCCCTGGATGTAGGGTTGCCTGAATATTGGCCAGTTACTGTGATGAGATCTGGAAAAAGAAGAACCTGGGCCCATCAGCTTTTTCTTCTTTGGAACTTGCATTTCCAAAGTCACCATATTCGCCCAGGAGTCTGTCCTGTGTCTGTTCACGTCGTACACATTACAAGAAAGAAGGACGACAAGCGGACAGGAAGCTGAAGGTGGGGGAATAATAAGTCCGAAAGGGCTGAAGCAGGCTGGCAGGAAGTTGTGAGCACAGAGAGCTCTTTTGTTAGGCTGGGTCAAGAGAGGTGCCTTGAAGAGGTGATGTCTGAAGATCTGGGGGAATTGAGTTCCCAGTCAAGGGCACAGCGGGGCTAATGACTCTCAAGTAGGCCTGAACTTGCTGGGGATGAGTGGGTCACCCTGGAGTAGCATGGTGAAGGAGGGGGTGGCAAGAGCACCCTGTCACAGAGAGGTGCCATCCCCAGGAGTGTGGGCTTGTTTCCCGAGTGCACTGAGGAGCCTTGGGAAGCTGAAGTGGTCAACGACCCGATGCGTGTAAACAGAGGTGTTTCCTGAGAGAACACCTTTGGGGGGAGAAAATAAGAAGGGAAGTGTCTTCCCAGGGAGCAGACTCAGGGGCTGTTGACCTGGAGCGACTGGAGAGCAGAAACCAAAGCTGGGAAGAAGCAGAAACAGGCTTCACGTGAAGTGGAGATGCCCTGGTTCAGAGGGCAGAGTGAGAGACCTAAGACAGAGGGCAATGCAGAGGGTGCTCAGAATCCAGCTGTCTCCAGGTTCATTGACTTCTGCCCTGGGGACTCTGCACAGTGGACCCTCTGAGGTCTTCACATCCTCATTGCTCCATTGCTTCTTTCATTAAACCACCCTCTCCTCCTCTACTTTGAGAGACTGTTACTAGAAGCTCAACCTAGCTAATGATAACTTGGGCATAGCTACTGCTCAAGTCAAAATGGGCGTCTCTCACAGCAATGTCGCAGTGACTGCAGCGTCGCCTTGGTATGCACGGCGTCTGTGCTGGACGCCTTGTGTTTTCTCTCACTGTATAGTTTCTCAGCCCATTTCATTCTGGTTACCCCACAGGTCGTACCTGTTCAAACCCACTGCTATTGCCACACTGTGCATTTCTCAGTTTCTGTCTGGGGCTTCTCAACACCTCATGTGGAAGCCCGTGGGGATCCGCTTAGCACTTGAGTATGTGTAGGCTTGGAAGTGTGACAGTGTTAATCCACACTGGAGAAACCTTACCCAGTGGAGGATGAGAGGCAGTGAATAAACGCTCCCCAGTGCTGTCTTGGAGACCGACAACCTGATGGGGGTGTATTCTTTGGTGCTTCCATAGAGGCTTCTGCCTGAATAATCACCAGAGTCCAAAACTGTGCGGTTTTGTAATCCATCTTTATGAAGAATTTCCTTCTTTGTTCCCTGTGTCCCAGTCCTTCACGGCCCCTCCTTGGGTTCACCTTCCAAAGTAAACTACATCTGTGTGAACGCTCGGCCTCAGCCTTCTGGCTGGAACTCAGGTCAACCTGCCTGTCCTCCCTATCTCCTTACGACGCACATTTAAATGGGTTCCTTTATCCTTCGCTTTTTTTTGTTACACCCCAATTGGAAATACATATTTGCAACTTCTTTAGGAAAGAAAAACTATCACAAATGAAATTACTGGTTTTACGACTGCACAACATACACACTTTATACCTTTTTGTGTGCTCTGGAGCAAACCCATTTACATCGAACAGTTTCATATGTCTGTGGAAAGGCATTAGCCAATACTTCTGGGGCTGGTTGTGTGCTCAGTTTGGCTGCCTTCCAGAACTTACGCTGACACTTCTGGTGTGACTCAGGCGGACAGACTCACTGTGCTACAGGGAAGTCAAGCACAGCCCTGTGTTTGAGGGTCTGGCTTTACCCAGCACAACTTGAGTCTACCAATACAAGGTAAGAAGTAGATGGGGTTGAAGATGTCAGTGAAATTAAAATGTTTGAGGTTTGCATGTTTTAGGTTTGAGGCAGTATTTCTACTCAGGAAAGTTTCCAAAAACTATAAAGCCCTTTGGTCTAAGCACGAGTGCTTCGAGACCCCTAGAAGGTTCTTTTTTTCTTGACAGGAAGGAAGGTGGCACCAGCAGCTATCTCTGCGCCAGCGTCACTGGAGAAACAGTTGTAAGTAGCCCTGGGTCTGCTTCAGAACTGCTTCCAAAGTCCGCCCAGGTTGGTTTTCCCAAGCTCTCTGTCCTCGGCGAAGGTTACTTCACCTCCACTGCAGTCAAAATAGAGCAGAAGTTAGCAAGTGCACAAAGGAAACATTGCTCAGATACAGTATCACGTTGACTGGTTCTCCTGATTGCACTGGCTTACGCAGCCCTGCCATGTGGCACACAGGCAGGCAGCTGACCATATGTGGTGACTGTGCTTTCCGCAAAGGCTTGTTCTGTAGACGACAGGTTAGAACTGTGGTTAAGTCTGCAGAAACCAGCATCCTACTTAGAACATTTTGATTTAACAGTACTTCCCTCATTACCTTGACCCATAATAAAATGTTGGGCCTTGGCCCCTGACCAAAGTGTCCACTTTATAACACCATTGTTTCCATGGAACAATGAGAGTCTATGTGTTGATTTAAAATGACTTTTACTGGAACCTAACCCACTTTAACGGATGCCTTTTCCCTGAATTCTTTCTCTCTGGGTGTAAACATGCAGGGCCTGTAGTCAGAGACAATGATAAGATTTAATATTGCTTCTAGGAAGCATTTCTGATGATGAAGTTTGGACGGCAGAGGCAGAGTCACAACAGGAAGGCGGGACCAGGCCAATCCGGGACTTTTAGGATGGGAGTGGACCGGCTGTGAGTAAGCTCTTGGAGAGTTTGGGAAGGGAACTATCCAGAAGAAGGTGGACCTTTTGAAACTATGATCAGGCCATAGTGTAGGTTCTGAGTTGAAAAGGGACTCAGTGCAGGTTAGAAAGCTGATTTAGGATGAGACACTGGCCTGAGCAAATGGGATGGTACTAGAAGCAAGCATAAGAGGGGAGAGGATATCGGAGGCAACTGGAAAGAAGCAGAATGTGTAATAGAGGCACTGGAGAAGACTGGTCAGGAGGACAGCATTGGTGTTTGCAAGGGCAGAGCTGGAACTTTGCAGGCCTGCCTTCTGCGTTCTCCTTGTTCCCTGCCTCCTTCTCTTTTGTTCTCAGACAACGTGTTGCTGTGTAGCCTGTGTTAACTTTGAACTCAAAGCAATCCTCCTGCCTCAGTCTCTGGAGTGTTGAGACTATAAACATGCACCTCCACGACTGGATTTTGGGACCCCAGCCTCCCTATGCCCCATCTACAGTTACAAAGCATGACTTGACCCAGAGCAGATAATAGATAATAAATACTTGCTGAACTAAGGACACTTTGTGTCACTCAAAGTGACAATATGTTTTCTAAAATTGGTTCTAAGCTTGTTTGTTTATTCCTACCTGGGATTTATGAACCATAGCTCTGTCCCTCAGTGTGGCTGATTTGGTTTGATTTG